GAAAGGAAGTCTGATTAAACTTTGTTCCACGTCCGTTCCCAGAAGTCATTCAATTTTATCGAGAAAATTAAATGTGGCCAGCCACAGAAATTCGTGCAATTCCTATTAATGGCTCCCGTTATAAAGCGCAGATCATCGACGCTAAACATCGAATGATGCCTATTTTGAAATCTTTCGACCCTCTATTACGTTATAATTTACGTTTCAACCTCGCGTTTTTAAGATCGATCTCTTATAAAAAATGGAAAGTGTGACTTATCGTATCCTTTTCCGATATCCTCCTTCTCTTCCATTGTTTTCCCCTCTATCTTTTCTTCCTCTGGTCCCTTTCTTAACTTCTTAGAGTTAACAAAGCGTTCTACTTTATTAACACGATTCTCCACCGATATGAATGTATAAAATATTTCAATAAAAAGATAAGGGGCAATGTACAGAGCGCGGGTGCACGCGGAAAGTTGAGGCACATTTCAATTCGAGTAGCATAATGGTCGATATCCGCTCCCGTTTGCTCACCGAACGAAACTTTTTCCCATTTTCGTCGTATGAACGCGATGGGTGGCCGCGTCGCGCACGAGAACTTTTTACTTTCGAAAAGTGCACATTCTCGCGACCCATGGATTTTCACGTCGCTCACAAACCGCTCATAACCATTCTTCTTCCTTTCTTTTTTTTTTCTCCCCTTTTTTGTATAGGTGAATATCTAACAAGACATCGATTTTTGAAGGATCTTAGGAAACCTGAGTGAAAATCTGATATCTGTCCGTGTAAATTCGAGAATCATCCGAGAGCAGTTTGGCAAATCTGCTTTCAGAATAAAACGCCGATAACAACGATCGGTTGCAACATTTTTAATATCATCGAACGATACTGGATTAAAGGAGGAATCGAAGTAACCGAGGCAAAATATCGTTAGAATCGCAATATTCCACGGAACTGGCAGAGTTAACCGGAGCACCCTCGAAAACTTTCTTAGGAAAATATCGCGGTAGAGATGAGAACGTTCATAAACGTTCGAACATTTTCGTCGGCTTATAGTAACACTGGGTATTTGAATTCTGTCAAAATATACAAATTACTGGCTAATTAGAACTAGAAACAGCGTTTCCTATCTTCTTATAATAAACTCTAATACTACTATTTATAATGCACTAGTAGTAGTAGAATTAATAGACTATAAATTTAAATTGTCGATTAAAAACAATGAATTACACGATCGTATTAATACTTAAAAGATGGTAGGATTCGCTTCGGTTCATAGATATTTCAGTTTTGAAATTTGTTTCAGTATACTCTTTACTTTCACTCATAATTTAGGAATTGAGCATCATGGAAACAAAGATCCCTCTGTATAAAGATATAATGCTACAATGTTTGAAAAGGAAGCTGCTCTGTAAGCAACGTTTCTAGCTCAAAGAACATTGCTAACGATCGAACGATAAAATTGAAAAGCACTACGAATCGTTTGATAAGTTCTCACAGCATCCTGTACGCGTTTACCCTCCGTTTCCTCTTGTGTTCCGACCGCTCTCACGGATGATAAATAAAGTTCACCGTCTTGAAAGGGATCGCAATCAGCTCGTTTTGCTGGAGATAACGAAATTATCGTGTTTTTTTCCGCATGGTGTGTAAGCCCGCAGGGGCCAAAGGAATCGTCGTATATCTACATAGTCAGCACGTGCTACGAAATGTTAATAAATAGCACTTACGTATTTCAACCGCGATAATCGACTAACGAGCATATCGTATTAAGCGTGTGAATCTTCTGCCCAATGATATCGCGCAGGTTTCACGTTTTTTAACAAGCTGCTGAGCTCGGCAATTTCAAAGCGCAGCTTTTCGAGCTTCGCCGACAGAGAAATATTTAATCGTATTTTACCATCAAATCCTCTCTAACGTTTGTTTCGCAGATTTAACCATTCGGTGAAATTTCAACGAAATCTACGAATTTGTATTATCTATGGATATTGCTTATCAATCGTTCGAAGAATCTGGTGCGGCGATATCGATTTTTAAGAAATTCTACGTTTCTTGGACGCGACGCTATCACGTATAAAATCCTGTGATTAAAAACGTTTGAAAAGATTTCCAATTTCACTCGTCTTCTGATAGAGACTCCTTCTCTAAAACGAAACCGCTCGAGATATTACGCTGCCGGTTCTGAATTTTCCAATTTCTGTCCACAACTTGTTTACGCTCATCGCAATATCGATTCTCCGAGGTTCGTTATACCCTTATTAAACTGGAGCATGCGGTACACCATTGCGATACGCGAGCAACATTTTCATTTCAGACAGCAATCAGTTGCCATGCACTGCATTAGATCAAAACGATTCGACTTTTGCCAGAAAAGAAAAAAAAACGACGTTGGAGGTTTCGATTGAAAATTAGACGAATATCTGGAATCTTCGAAGAGCAGAATTTACATCAAATAATTTGGTAATGTCCCTTACTTAATACGCGATCTATTAAAAAATCTAAGTAAGCAAAAATTGTATCCACCACCGAACACAAAAATAACGTTCCATCTTTGCGAACCAAATATCGAAATTTGTTATCACGCGTATCATATCCTTAAGAAACATAACTTCCAAACTTACACTTGCACATTCGCCGTTTAAAACTTTCAGGACTACGCAGAGACCCTGGAGCGTCTATAGCGTTCAGAGAACTAGCACACCGATAATTTAATCAATAAATTAATTAGTAGCTTGGTGTAAAAACTCGTCTAAGTGATATTATAATTTTCTATAAGAATGTTTCCCTTTCGAACTGAATGAAAAAAGAGTTCTACATTCGCTGGTCCCGTCTGACTTATATTCGAGCGCTTTCATAAATTCATCTCTCGTTGGATGTAACAAAAAATCGAATTTTGTACGAAAAAAAAAGTCACTATGAGACCGTTCGACCGATCATCGTAGCAAGCAAATCGAAAGCGAGAGAAAAGAACAGGAACTCGAATATTGACGTTTAGAGTGTGTTCTCTGTGAAGAGGTTGGTAGCGCGAGCTGATTGAAAGTCACTCGTCGTACTAATGCGGCTAACATATGGCCGTCTGTTTCTACTGTTCCCGAGAGCCGGCTCCATACAGCTCGCGGCCAGTGATCGATAAGCCTAGATTCAAAACTGCTTTTCCCCCGTATTTCGTGCTGCGATTGGAACAATAAATCACCGCGGGCTCGACAGAATTCGAATCATATTAATAGTGCTCCGCTTTTTAGACCGTGAAAATAGGGCTAGGCCGAAACGAAACGGCCGTGCTGAAAAATCATTTCTCCACCACCGTCATATTCGGATACGATGAATTTGTAAAAATAACAGAGTAATAAAATAATAATCTTCTTCGTTGGTTCATAGATTCGACGAACGTTCTGCTTTTTTGAGTGATTTTTAAATGAATAATTTACCTCCGATTAATCGCATTATTGTTAGCATTCTTAATTTCGATGTGATATATTCAGATATATTCTATAGAAAAGAGAGAAAGATAACATATTGTTAAGTATTAAATAAATAAATAAATGTTGGTAAATTCTGAAAATATAAGAAAACAAGTTAACATTAAGTCACCGATAAAATGACAAAGAATTACACGATACCATTTCGAGGCCCTTGTTTCACGATACTCGTGGGCGCGTTTGGCAGTTCAATTTTCTCAACTTGTTTTCATCCTCCAACTTTTCCCCAGATGTGTATACCCTGGAGCATTTCTCGTCGGTACGCATACGCGTGTGTTTCGCAAAATAAGCCAACCAAACCAGCAACCATTCGAAACCGGAAAGAAATCCCCACTGCGACTCGCAGAAACAATGATCTCAATTAAACTTACGTCCCATTAAATCTTCCGCTGAAACTTTCCAAAATGTTGTACGTTTAATTTCTCTCTGGTAACTCGATGAAACAATGGTTATCGAGGGTGGATGGACACGATTCTTGGGACCAGCGATTCGATCCAGCTATTATAAATCACACTCAACTAGAGAGTTGAGAAAGTACCGATAGCCCTAGGTGAAACGCTGTGAGCTATAACGTCAGCTGTAAATCACGTCTGATACTGATACGGTCAATGTAGAATGTAGACTCTATTTCTGTTGTCAACGAAAAGGCAACGCGATGACTCGCGATCGAGCGATACGCGTGTATTAAAAATTATTTCACGTGCCATCTGCATCGTGTCTTTCACAGCTAATAAATCACTCGTACAGTGGCAGCCTGGATAGAATGACAAAGATCTTGCCGCTTCGAGGCGAATGAGATCGCTTTTTCGGATTTTGTGAGCCGACGTTGCTGTCGTTTCAACGCAGATGAAATTAATGGGGTCGTCAAATAGAACCGTCATACAGAGAGGAACCAAGAAAGTCCTCCAAGGCCTGTCCTACTTCGTAATATCGCGGCTTGGTAAACAGACCCTTTGAACTTTATTAGCTCGTTCTACCCCCCTGCGACCAGTTTTTTAGATCGCTCTTCCTTCTTCGCTTCGTTCATTTACCTTCTTAGAAAATTTGTTTTGAAAATTATGCGCCGAAAAGTAATCTTCCTGCGGGCTTTCCGAGAGACACAGTCCTCTCATCGAGATACCCGTGTCGCGCTATAGCTAGAAAAAGTCAGTGGTCGTTAAAATTAATGAGATGTAAATACGACGAGTGAAGTTAGTGGAGAGAGGAGAGGACAGGGGGGAAGAAACATCGCTTGGAAAAGATATCGGAGATTTTAAGAAAGGAGAATTTTTTCTAAATTTCTCGTAACTCAAACTTGAATAACCTTTTTAGTTGGAGGATGATCGTTTTTTACCATTTCCTGGCGACTTAATTCGAGCAGTCGAGAAGAGGAAATCATTATGAAGATACATCTACCCTGGGCATAGTAAGCTGTGGAGCGTCGGAATTTTTAAAAGGACATCGTACGAGGGAAACTCGTGCAGATTGCCCAGAATGTTCCAGCTGGAAATTGAACGGAAATCGAATATCCTCTGAATATTAGTTCAATTGTGTGTAACAGAGCCCAGGTGTCCTAATATCTATGGCAGATAGCGTAGATGTCGAAATGATATTTCACTGTCTCAAAGCTGTTGAACGTGGGTAAGTATCATGATACCAAATTCATCTCACATAAGAGCTCGTCTGGACGTATACCTCGAGGCGAACTTCTCATTGTGTTCGAGTTACTTAAGAATACGATGTGATTGGAATCCGAGAGAGTTGTAAGTAAATCTCCGAGTTTTAACGATCGTCTATGTAGTTTAAATCAATTGTACTTTTATTCAAGTTGTGTAATAATCGTAAAAAATTGTCTAATTCCTGTATCTGCTATAACTCGTAATTTTCACGATATTTTTTTATTATTCGTTTAATATTAAATCGATAACACGACTCTCGTGTATCGCGTTACTCTCTTTCTTCGTGACTGGTATGTACCTTCTACCTATGGTAGAAAATATCCTGAACTCACACAAGAACATGGTAACCATGGACACGTTGAAACTTGGTATCGTTCAAAATTAATTACACCGCTGGATAATGCGCCTCGTACGATCCTCGCAGCGTACACGCTACCTGTTTCCTTGTGTTCCCGATAATTACACCTGTGTAGTTCTTAATTAGTCTCTCTGAAGCGCTCGCAGTGAACGACAACTATAACATCGCGGCGAAGAACGATCGATGTAGAACCCTTGCTACGACATCGGTAGGTGACGCCTCGGACACAAACCAGAATTCTAGAATTTCGAAAGTTCCATGGCAAACATCGGTCTAGCAGTTCGTCCATAGACCAGTTACTTTTCGCCGCATTGTTGATTTATGTGCTTGGGAAATTCCCAACTATACGTTACAGGTGTTGCGCTGTAACTCGAGAAGACGACTCGAACAGATCTTCGTTCGACTTTCTCAACTTTTCCATAGGATTCGGATTCCCTTTGTGCGTCATCCTACGACATGACAAGATCTTAAGATCGATCGTATCGAAGTTAACATCTTCGAGGTACCTCGAGCCGTAGCAGACGGGCGAAATTTGAAAAATGAAAGGTTGGTATCAGGTCGCGTGAAATGTAGAATGAGAAACAGGAATAACAGTCCGAAGAACATTTAGCGAAATGAACTTATTAAAAAATTAATCGACAAGATCTCTGGAAGACATAGTAAAGTAAGAAAACTCACGAAATATTAATTGTTTCAAAGTGATCGATATTCTTTTAGCGATCACCGGAAACTTTTGAATGAAACACTTTTTAAAAAGTAACAACAGTATAATATCAAGTACATTTGTGTTTCTTGATAGAAACAAAACCTTGCCACTTGATAGATGACGTCAAACTTTGCTCCGTGTTATATATCCACTTGATTTTATCGCTATGGAGACATTGCATCTGAGCTAACCGGCGAAAGAATCATCTTATGGTATAGGTTAGGAACGAACGAAAGAATTTTTTGTGAAAAGGAAATTATCGAACAAAGTGCTGACAAACACCGAACGAAATTCTTCCTCCATTTTCCAGTTGAACCTTCTACGGGAGATATATTTCTATGGAAAACTGTGGCTAAAATTACGTCTGTTATGCCAGAACAGGCCAAACACGGACATAAGCTTTGACGTTGTATAATAAGCCGTTGGTGGATCCGACATCGGTTACGTTGGATGACTCTGACAGGAAGCATCGTCTTTGATGTCGAATCCAGATATTACACGGAATCTAAATGCAGCCGTGGTAGAGTTTGCTCGTCATGAGACACCAGTCAACCTGCGGACGAAATCTGTCGGGACGAGGAGAGGCAGCTGCCGCGAAAAATGGCATAAACTCGTTTCAAACTTTATGTTTCCAACTGATCGATGAATTTTATTACCAGTCACCGCGCAGAGTTCGTAACCGAAAAATTCCGATCGAAGATTACCTGTCTTGCCAGCGACGACTCGATTTTTCGCTATTTTTCTCCGACGCGTAGTTGTTATCCGACCATCTGATAGTCGCAACGAGGCTCCGTGTGCTCGAAAAATCAATTACTAAAGAAAATCGACCAAAGAAATCTTAATTCCATGATCTTACTTGAAAATTCATAACCGAGTTCGATTTCATCGAAATTATTCCAAAGATGAGTTTCTGTTCTCGTTCGGGATTTTTCTTTCGCTCGTGGTATTTGTACTATTAAATATCAGTATCACGAGCAGCAAGCAACGAAATGAATTATTGTCGAGAGATTGTGCAAACATTTGCTAACGCTCCATGCAGCTGCATTATTTTTTATTGTGCAAATGGTTCGTTACTTTTTCGATAGCTGCAATCCCACAATTTTGTCTGTATCCGATAGAAAATATTTGTCAATTACCCACTAGATTACACTCGCTTACCATTTCGCTCGATTCGATTTACATTTAATGGCGCCACGAACGATGCCTGCACCTGCGTTGCTGCAAAAATTTCTTTCATTATTGCTTGTAATTTTATGACATTTAATCGATTTTCCTATAATTTTTTTATATCCATGGTTTCCCTCCTTTGCAGGGTTTGTCTGTGAGATTGAAGAAAAGGCGTTTGTAAGCGCCAACGATGTGCTCGCGATCGGTATCCGCTGGAATGACCTTTTCGTCATCGTGTTCTATGGCTACGTCAATATCTGGCTCCGCCGTCAAATAAAAGATGTAAGGCACAGGCTCGGAAGAACGTGCATTGTCCCTCACGAAATCGTCAGCCTCCACCATTACGAATTGGCTCCTTACAGAAGCAATCTTCGACTCGTCCACTGTAGTCCTGCCAGTCTTCGAAGCCGTTTTCTCCATCGTCTATAAAAATTTGCGAGAAGTTCATTGAAAATGAAAATCGAATATCGTCTTTGGACATAGATACGCTTTTTTAATATTTAACTTCTGCAGCAATTGAATTTTATATCGGTGCTCGATTACCAGTGAAAACGACGCAGATAAATCAGACGCGTCCCAAGTAGCAATTGAACGAGAAGTATTATTGAATCGTTTATTACTGCTCTTTTTCTCTCGATAATGGTGAATCAACTGGTGATCTTTCGATCATTTTTAACGCAATTGTATTTTTCTAACGTTAGATGTCTCAAGTTTGAACAAAATAAAAGAAATTTGTAATTAGTACACATGCCTCGTCGTTTCAGTTCTGTGCTAAATATCTCTTTAAAAATTACATGTTACAAATAGAAATTTTGTTTACAAAGAATTAGAGCTTGATTGAAATATGAAAATTCTTATTCTTTTGGTGGTACTAGAACTTTTTGATTTTGTCACTTAATTATTCGTCGTATATTTGTCCACCGTAGCCAGCACAAGTAACGTCTCTATAATGCTTCTCAAAATGTAAAAATAAGAAGAAAATGAATTTATTACACAACCGTTCTATGTTAAACGTTTTTCTACAACTATAAAAATCTCTTTCGTTCGCTAAAATAAAAATGAAGATTGAATTTGCTTATATTGAAATATAAAATTTCGAAGATAGCGGCAAGGTTAAGGGAAGAAGTTTTAGAAGACACAGCACGTTAATCCGATATTTATCAAGCTTGCCCGACAGAGAAGAGAGAGAAGGTAAAAAAGAATTTATCGATATACGATAAAGTTACCTAACTGGACGAATTAATTCGACGTTGATTAAACAGCTGATTCTTCATAATCGCTCGATTAAATGGATTACTTGCTGTAACAAACTACCGACCGTGGATCTCTCGTAAATAAGAAAAACGCGAATCTCTTCCACTCTCGGCCGTCAAACAAAAGATCGACTCGCACTACTTATAAAACGACAGATAAAAATTGTTTCGAGAGTTTCTCGCTTAGTCGAGAGTGTACCGTATCGTCAGTTGCCTTGTAATTCACGGAATACGACCTCCGTGTCCGGTTATTGCGAACTCTTTCTACTTGTCGCGCAAAAAACTCGCCGCCTTGTGCGCCGCGTCGACTCTAATGGAGCTTGAAAACCCGACAAGAAACGAAAAATCAAAAGGCAGGCGTTTCGAGTCGAGACACGAACGATACAAATTGGAAACAACGGGAGAATGCGTGGAAACATGGAACGAGGAATCAACAAGAACCTCTGGAACACAGGGATGTATCGAGCAAATACAACACAACGTATAGAGACAAAACAGTCCTTTCGATGCTTTCGGTAAAGCTTGACCGTGTTCGTTCTCGTTTTCTATCAAAAAAAAAAAAGAAATGGTCCACTAACTGTTCGAGGCTGATCGATCTATAAATTTTTACATCGAATGTTTTTCTGTGTAAACAATCGAGTTACGAATGGCATGGAACACAAATAGAAATGTGTTTCGCTTACTAAATATTCTAACGAGTACTTTACTCTGCTTTACATATTTTTCTATATCGTACGATTTCTATTAAGTTCGCACGCTTAAATTTCCCAAAAATGCACAAACCTAAGTAGTCTGATAATAATTGAACTACAAATTTTGAGGTGTATGATGCACGTAGCACGAAATCTCCTTAGAAACACCCACAATGGAGAAGTTTAACGAACAATTGATCTTTCTGAAGATCAGTGCAACGTGAAAAAATGATTTCCTGACAGATTTTCCTCCAAATCAGTGCAATGTGGAAAAGAAATCTCCTAGCACCTCTTAACAATCTAGAAATGTAGCGGCAGTAAACGTACTTCTGCAGACACTGATACTTTTGACGATTCCTTCAATGGTTCCCTGGTCGACGTAGCTTCCTGCTCCTCCTGTTCCTCCCGTTCTTCCTGTTTCTCTTGCTCTTCCCGTTCCTCTTGCTCTTCCTCTTTCTCTTGCTCTTCCTGTTCCTCGTCGACCGTGACTGTTTGTGGTGCTGATTCATGTGGCGCGGTATAAATCGGGTCACCCTCGGACTTTTCATTCAAAGAAATCCCGCTGGATTTCGTGCCACGTTTCCCACTTCTCCTAGGCTTTCTACCCTTACGTGAAATCCGTACAGATTTCGGGCTCACTAATAGTTTTGGACGAGGCGGACCCTTCACTTTGCCAAACTTGTCCAAGCCTTGCACCAGGAACGTTGCTATCACCAATCTACCTCCGACTTCCTTGATTGCCTGCAACGCAAAACATCTTTTCAAATTGTTCATTGCCTTTTACATAGTTCACTCAACTTCGATTGCACGTGTATATTAAAATGTACAGAATCTATTAGCTTGGCAACTAAGCGATTGCGAATTTTATCAATACCATCTAATGACAAAATCCGCAATCACTTATTTACTGTGCAATTTTCTTCGCAATTATCAAATGTCCGATTCTTTTAATATTTTAGCGACAAGCAAGAGACAAAAGGAATAGTTCAAGGTGTCATGGAGCTATTACCAGATCGGCAGTGTCCTTCCAATGCTTATAATAGGATCGGTAGATGGTCGCCTCGTGCGTAAAATTCTTTAGAAATTCTCTCATCTCTTCCTCGGTCCTCGGTAAGGGCAGTCGCTGCAAAGAAACTCCCTTTTTTATAACGGTTTACGGGGTGTAAACGAAAGTTTGGAAGTTAGGATGAAGAGTGACGCTGTTCACGGAAGGAAGATTGGAAAGTTTAGAGAGACTTTTGCTCGAACGATCGGTCTGATTCTTACGGGATTGCGAGAACTGGGCGTGATAAAGCTAAGCGCCTGTTATCTTTAATGACACCAGCAAAGCTCTTACTTCGAACGGCTCGCTGTCATCCTCTTCCTCTATTCCTGAATGCTCCCATGGTGTGCCTATGGGCCAAATCTTCGCGAATTCTTCTTCGTTTGATCTTTTCGCTGTTAACATTTCTCCCGATTTCGTTGGTGATGTTTCTTCCGATTCTTCTTTGAATGTTTCTCTCGATTTTGCTTCTATAGTCTCTCGCGATTCTGTTGTTAACGTCACATCTGTAACTGTTCTAGCCAGGGAAATTTCGCTCGTTTCCTCTATGGTTCCTGTAGCAATGATATGAATGTGAAACGGAGGATGATGAAATGACAAGATACAATTTGATTGGAAAATCATATTAAAAAATTATGTAGTACTGATTTTATTTTCTTTGTTATCGTTTTACGAGAATGTCCCGATAAGATTGATCTTAAGGAAATAATATCTATACGTGCAGTGAAACATTGGCAAAAGCCCAAACAAAGACAAACAGATCAGAATTATGCGAGACTGCGAGTATAATCTCCAAAATACACTGTAAGTAAGTTTTTAGACAAATAATTGGAATTATTTTAGTTTTTGATAAACACTTGGCGTTTGACGATTAATTTCTCGTTAATTTATACACTCATTGTTGATACAAATCTAAACATAGCTAAAGTGTCGAATTATTTATAAGCTACAATATAAATCATCTTATAACTCACAGACGTTTCCTTGAAGAAATAATTCTCACAGTTTAATCGCGTGTTAATATCGCGTGTTAATATCGCGTGTTAATCATCCAAAATGAAGGACTTAGATTACGGTTTTTACACGGTATAAGCGGCACAACTCGGTGGTACTCGTCTTAATTAAATCGCGACCAGCCCTTCTCCGGTTTGTTTATCGCGGTGAAAAAGTTGGACGACAACGGTGCTTTGTTTCGCCCAAACAGGGCGGGAAGAACAAAGAAAACTTCCTTCGTCCCTTCGAAACCGTTTATTCCTGGCGTTTTCGCCGTCCCATTGGGAGAAATTTAGTGCGCAATAACAGGTATACATTTAATAGAATTATCTATTAAATACAGAAAATTCTAAGATAAAGCCTGCTGTCTGGCAACAGCTTCGTATGCTACGTGACGTCGTAAAATCTGTTTAGGGCAGCGTAAAAGCACTACGTGACACCAACGCGAGGACAATGACCACACTTTTAGATTTATTTCGTGATAAGTGCGACGCCAACCACTACGGTATGCGTTTTCGGAATTACGACTATCTCGCTCATATTTTCCCACTAGTTTTACGTTGCATTGCCCCGAGATGAAAACGAACGAAAGAAACACGGAACTCATAGACATCTACGATTAAGTTATTCTTCTTCTACCTTGATCAAAATCCTCGACTTGACGAGGAACTTCTTCTTCTTCCTGATCCGCCGCGACTTCGCTCGGCTCGATTCTTGGCTGGTATCCATCCTACCAACAGAAAATTGAGACAAAGTATCGTAGATTTTTGGGGAAATTTAATAAGGTAAACGCGAACTGACCGAATAGTTGACACACGCTACTGACTATGGGTATTAAGACGCTTTAGAAACATTGAGTAAATCTGCAGATTTATCAAAATAAAATAAAATAATCTGGGAATTATCTTTAATTATACTTATATACGTAAGAATAATTTTCTAATTAAAATACGTTCGTCAAAAATGAGACGTTTAAACGGTGAAAGAGTTTGTCAAGTAATGAAATACTTCCACGAGAATCTGATACTATCAGGTTTGACAATTACATGCGATACCTTCATCGTGATATACTCCTTTAAAGAATAATTTCATCGCACCGTAATGTTCCATTATGCGTGGCAATGATAATTCCAAAGAATAGAATCATTGCAGTCGAATTTATTTCTAATTTTGTAATTAAAATACATCTCGCCAAAGATAAAGGCAAGTGTACAGTTAGCGAAGCAGATCCTTTCGAACGATGGTGTATTATCATAAACTATCGTATATACATTCGTATACAAACAGATGTTGCTTCCCCTGGGCCCTGGCCTGAAGCAGTGCGAGTTAATAAATCTGTAGGACGCGAGAGAAAAGTTTCTACTTGCACGATAAAAACCGGTGAATGAAAACCGAGGAACTAGTTTTGCATATCGAACGGTTTGCCCTTTCATTTTCTTCAAAATTCCGCTTAACCCTCGACTTCGACGCGTATGATTCCCCCAGATTATGCGAAATCTCAAGCAAAACCTACCCTCAGCTAATCCTGAAGTTCGGCAAAACTTTAAACGCAGATGGTAGAATTATGGACTATGTCTATGAAAGTGATGTAATTTATAGCCGGTCGCAGGATGGAAGAACGCAAAAAGAAGAACGATTCGTTCGCCGTGACACGAATGGCTTGGAAGTTTGGCCCGTGCAAACAAAACGTCGCGCGATTAATGCATATTAAAATGAAAATTAAACTCGCTTATCTTCCTGCCAGCTGAGAGACGAGGGAAACGTGAGACGGCAACGGTTGCCTCGAACTGCATACATCGATCGGCGGACAGTTTAGAGTTACGTTGCAAATACTCGCTTTCGATTAGGCCGGAACTGCTAATCGTTTGCGGTTTCTGTTAATGCGTTTAAGCCAAAGAGCTCGATACAATCAATCCATGTTCTGTTTACGAGGTTATCTCGACGTCAATCAACCAGTCACGCGATCCTCCATGTTAAAATTCATTACTTTTACATTGACGTACCGACCTAATTTTAATACGTTCACCGTGGCCCTGACTTTTTCCACGGCCTGGCTTCTCTTATTAAAACACGAGCCAGCCCATTGCACTCCCGACTAAATATATTACAGTGAGCTACGATTCATCGTCCAACGTCCACCGTTTCGACTAACTGTTGTCCTCAAGGTCGACCGCCCCTGCGAAACGACACAGCGATATATACATATGTATGCATGCATATATATGTGTGTGTGTGTGTGTGTATCTGTGACGTACAAACTTTTAAAACGACTACCTCGCTACGAAAAAGTCACTGGATACTGCGGAAACTAATATCATCTGCTATTTAATTATTCTAATTGTATTTATTTTTCACGTTACATTTTTTGTTTCTCATACGAGGAAACAATACTTCTATAAGTATTCGAATACGTACGTACTGTAGAAGACATTTATGCATATATCTATATTATGCGCGTTACGTAAAACGTATTAAAACTTCATTAGCAGTGTAATGAGACACGAGTAACACGATTACTTTGGTCAAATTTGAAACCGACCAGGAAATATAATACACAGTTTACAAAACATTTGCTGCGGACGTTCATTTAGCGAAACGAATATCGATGTTTATTAACATAATGGATAATTGAATGTTTAAATAGTATACTAAATATCTCGTAGCTTCTACAGTACATTCTCGTGTTTCAGGTATTAACAGTATAATAATAACAATCGTGTTTCGTTACCGCGCCAATGAAACTTCAAAATGTAGCGTATTACGCGTAATATATTCATGAACGGTGTCTACGAATATTCGTGTGTAGGAACACGAAAAGAAAGAAACAGAATTAAGTAATAAAAAATGACCGAAATTATGACATTTCTGCCAGACAGGCGACCGTTCTTAAACGCTATACGGCGATAAGTTTCTATCTCTCCTCTTTGTCTCTCCATTTTTCTCTCGCCAAGTTACTCACAAGAACCATGTCGGGAAAATCGTGTATGTGTGTGTGTGTGTGTGTGTGTGTGTGTGTGTATGTGGCTGTGTGTGTGCGATGGCCGAGAGAGATTTAAACGCATTCCCTCGCCGTTGAAGCATGCAGCGTCGTGTATAAATCTCCGGCAAACAGACTGAAAAAGCGCACAAACACCTGAGCTTCGAGACAACGTTGCCTTCATATCGTACAGTATAACGAAAGCTCAAGGTTAAGCGACTAGATGCGATTCGCGTAAATCACGCTCCTCCGTGCGCTTTAACTTCGCTAGGAACACGAGGAAGCTTTGACGAAATTAAATTTCCGATGTTTAGACGCGCCAGCGAATTGCCGATTCTCCGCAGTCGGCTTCTATCCATGATAAAGGGAATCGGAAAATTTGATAACCGACGATATTGTTTGGGGAGAAGATGAAATTTTCAACAGCTCCGCCATCATCGCCTGTTATAAAAAAAAACACAAGTTCGCGACGAGTCGATGAATTTTCATCGGGACAGGTATACAAAGTTTCCCGTACTTCATCGGCAATCTCTGCCGGGGATCGTCGTCCATCCGTTTCGATATGAACACGATAGCTAAACTTGTAATTTACGTTGGAAATTTGAAATTCGTCGCCGGAGCTACGCTCGCCATGTCGGAATTTCATTCGGCGAGCTTTCACGACTTTCCAAGGTATTTACGCTGGCTCGTAACGCGTATCGTTCGTTTAAATGGCTAGCTAGGCTTTTGTTAACGATACTTCTGCCATATCTACAGCGAAGATATAACCGATTCGTCGTATTCGTTTGGCGAACGTGCGACCAAACAACCTTATTTTTTTTCTGTCAGCTGGAAATTATCGAAGAACGATATCCAGACGAACTCGAGCTCTTGATCGATTCTACGAATGCGAGTAGTAACCTAGTACAATTTTTCCAAAATTGTTCTCTTATTGGTAATTCCAATCGTAAGCAAACCTAACTCTGCTTATATTGATAACGACATTAAATTGCTATTGCTAATAAATCGAAGTGTCGAAATTTTGTGTTGAATAAATGTTGAATAATGTTAAACAATGTAGTGGAAATAATGGCTTTTGTATCTTGATTTTGATACGTGAAATTCAATTTATAAAAGGAGTAAGTAACGTAGAAAGATAATGCATATAAAATGTATACTTTCATGAACGGTTATATTTTCACTGTAAGTAACTATGAATGAATTTCGGAATAGAATCCCCATTGCGTGTAATGGCGTCCATTTCTCATCGCCCTCTGTCCCATCGCACTTTGACATAAATATCTAAGATCGGTCTGACCCGGAACAGGTCGTTACACGGAACAAAACTTACCTCCTCCTGTTTCAAGGCTTCATCGGCCTTCTGCAATTCTTCCGCGAGCCTTATAACAAAATCGATGTGAGCACGTAACCACTTCTGCCATTCGTCGGCAATTTCCCCGATGTTCGTGAGCCAAATAGACCAGACACGCAGCTTTTCCGATGGTACGGCGTATATCCGCTCCATAGACCTCACCACGTCCCTGCCATTTCGACGCATTATGTCATTTCAATTTCTCCATAGTCGAAACGTCTATCTTTTGCCCCAGTCTCTATTTTGCAAACTAAGAAAAAATTTCTCGCAGCAAGAATCACCGAGGAAAAATTCCGTGCTTTCTCGTATTTTCAAAAAATCGTAACTTGAGGTAAATCGATTCGTTCTTATATTCACGAGATCGACGTTATTTTCCCATCAATTGAATAATATTTATCGAATAATTGGAAAAATAATTGGAAAGGGCATGACGCAAATCGAGGGTCAAACAAATAAATTTGTGTTAGCGAGATATTGCGAAACTTTTTAGATTTGTTCTAAGAGGGAAAAAGTATCCCTTAGCTTGAGGTGTACGGATTACACAGTGGCAATAAATAGCAGTTCGAGGACCAAGTCCAAAGAATTGTGCAAACAACGAAGCCAGTGCGAACTGTGTGGAAAGTTCGTATACAGGACGTTTGCTTCAAACATAGCGAAGTTTGCGTCAAACGAACAAATCGTGCTCTTCTCCCACAATACGATTATTTATCGCGTTCTTAATCTTTAATGTCCAAAGCCTTAAATCATTGCCGAAAATTATATATACTAAATTATATAAAATTGTACACATGTATGTATTATATTTGTTGCTAAAAATGCCGATATTAAATCCAGCTATAAGTTTATTTGCCGATTAAAAGGAAATTTCATATTATCTGAAATGAGCTTTTACTGAAGAATGGAATATTCTGAATAAAACAGTTGAATACGGTCGATTTTTAGAATTGATTGATAAAATCAATAGTATAACAAAATGGGAGAAAAATTAATTAAGGCAAAAGAATAGCACGGGAATAAAGCTGAATTTTAATTTCCAAGGGAATGCACGAATTTCTCGACGTAGAACATAAAAATCTGTTTCATTAGAATTAAATAAAAGGACCCTGCTAAAAGAAGCTATTATATAATATATCGATCGGGAATTATTAATTTGACGTACCTTTAGAATAATGTCACACACACGCGCCCGCTATTGCGAGCTATTAATTAATTGGATTAATTTTATAGTTAGAAAGTGAAACGAGTAATTCCGAAACACGAATTTATAATTCTTCGTTCAAATGAATTTCCGTCGCTTTTAATGGCAAGAAAACTTTCCAGTTGCAGGAATTATTTCTACTAGAAGCAAGATAACACCAACAGAGGAAAGATCCAGAGAAGCAAGATTTCCTTTTCCACAAAAGGTTTTCGTTAATCTCGTTAGCAAGGTCGAATAAAATTAAGCGATGAATATAACTTGATGAAACGTCAAATGACGGAGCAGGTAAGAATATTAACGCACCGATGACGTCAACAGATGAGAATAACTACATTTCAAAAATAGAAACGATCCTATTTATAGCGTTGCTCTTAAGAATGCAGAATACTTAAAAAGTGGAAAGTGTTATGAACGAACTCGCATCTTATCATCGAATAGATTGTTCGTCACACTGATTCAAGCTAAATAAATGAAACGTTCGCTGATAAAGTTGGTCAAATTAGGTTAGATAAAACATTGCACAAGTTTACTCAGCGTAACAACGTAGAAAGATGTTCTGTAATTAGAAAGAATCCGTGTGAAATCGGCAAATGCCCGCGACGATTTCCTGTTTCTCCTAACAGCTTCGATTTGCGTCATACAACCTACACTTTAGACTAAAATTACGGTTCAGCGATCATGAAACTATTTCGAGATCGGATTCACGAGTAGCACGCACAAACGCCACTTTCCTCTTGCTGGTATTTTTCTAGGCCCTCAATTTCCACATTTGTCGGCTAGCTTACGAAAGTGCTCGATCGCTTTTACGAATATATCACGTGTGCTGTACGATACGCTTTGAAATTTCACTGACGCCGTAACGAGACACGTCTGTCGTAATTATATTTATTTGTGACGAAATTTGATCTGAAATCTTAATCTGAAATAGAAATTGCAAAAGACACTGAAAACATATGTTCAATAAAAATTTATTGTACGACATAAATAGCCACTTTAGACATAGAACAAGCGTTACAAATGGCTCCATTGAATATTAAAGATTATTTAAACACTGTTGTAATCTCTGCGAAATATATGTGGATTTCCATTAAATATCTTGTAACTTTTATATACATTCTCGGATTCTTTTCAAATTTTTCCATTATAATGGTGGCAGTCGTGTCTCGTTATAGCACCACTGAAGTTTCGAAACGTTTTATATAACAACTTTCTGTGAGTCGCTGAACTCACGAGACGAAACTAAACCAAAGTAAACGCGATTTATACGTGGACTGTTTATATTTACGCACGCCTTCTCTAATAAACGAGAAATCTAAACAAAGAAAAATGTAAATTTGTTCGCTTAGGTGTTACGAAAAAAAAAAAAAAAAATAGAATTTTCCATGGTAAACTTACGGATCCGACTTGGTCTTTCGAATGTCCTTCGCCTCGTCCGGTGGCAATTCCTGATCCTGATCCTCTTTCTGAAAAACGAGAACGATCATTTCCCATGTGCTCCGTGAATGTTCCAAGGGGGTTTGATTAACCATAAAGCAACGAAATATAGCCGTGACAATCGGACGATTGGTCAAAACGATTTTCGGTGGAACGATCAAGTTTATGGGACACTCCAGTCTCAGTGTAACTGGTATAGCATTGCATTCGGTATCGCGGATTGCCGCTAGATTAATGATCATTGGCCTGCCAATTCGTGATGTGTGTTATTAATGACCGAGAGACGCAGGAGAAACTAGGGAACTAAGTTTCCAAACGAATGACCAACAATTCCTGTAACCACGTTCTAAAACAGTTGATGTTCGTGACAAATATCACCCTCGTCAAGCCTTTCCACCCTCTGAATATCGTAAGGAAAAATTTACAAGATTCGATATATTTTTTCATGTTTTGCGAACCTGCAAAAATATACAGCGTATACGTAACGCATAAAAATACACAGTGTGTATGGAGAAAAAATGCAAAAAATTGTATCGAATCCTCTGTCGTATTTGTGCGACGATGTTTCAGATAGTAACGCATTCTACGATAGACCGAGGAGATTTGTTTTTGTTAACGAGTTAGTTATTTTACGGCATCACAATCGTCGTTTCTCCTAAAGAAAAAAACTCGCATATACGGCGTGATTTAATCTGATAACAATAGTAACGAAGAAAAATATCGATACGTATATTTAATTATCAAACTAATTTGGAAATGATTCGCTTTAAATACAATTAGAGTCTGTCGGGGAAAAACGAAAGGCTCTAGAATATTTATCTGTCTCGTCGAAAAGGAGAAGAAAGCGAGGTTTAATTTAGTTTTCGATTCTCGTAAATTGAATTAGGATCTTCAGAAGTATTTAACACGACATAGTGTTATCCACTTTAATTAAAGTAAACACGGTTATTTTTCCAACGAGAAAGACAAATTGATAGAAAGAAGTTTAGTGACGCACAACGTGATAATCTTGTTCCATAAAACTGGTTAGTCGTTAAGTCGCCAGGCTATTCAACGTTATAAAATTAATGAACCGAGCTGAAGAACATCTCGATTACGCGGACGTTTGTTCGCAAATATCCACGTTAATGAATTTTCATCGAATTCGTGGCAAAGAACGGACAATGATTGCGGCATTATGCTAGCGAGAACGACGAGATAGTGAGGTAATGTCTGATACGTATATGGGACACCGCACATTACCCTTTCCATGCATACGTGAGTCAAACACAGCAGCAAAGCGGTTAGCTGAAATAATAGCTCGTATAATCGATGAATATACATTAATATTAACATTAATATTATCAGCAGATTTATTTATTTTTTCAATCAATATTTTGACAGATAGAAAATTATGGATAACTGGATGGATCGAACTGCAAGGATTTATTCTTTGAAATTATCGTAATGTCACGACAGAAATAATCACATAACAGAAATTGACTTTTAAAAGCCGATATGAAATGACAAAATCGACGTTTGCAAGCGTTTAATCTTACGTAATAGTTTAAGATTCTTATGGAAATATTTTGTTAATTGACAAAACTGCAAGGACTTTATTGTTATCATAGCTACGTATAATGTAAAATATTCTAACGTGCAATATTCTCATGCAATTAAATAGATTTTTAAAAATTAATATGCGATAATATGCGGTAATACCTCGTGTTAGGATCATGTTTTTTTCACAGATAATTAAATTTATTTGTTAAGTCTACGCGTTTCATTAGAATATTCAGTATCGCTTTTTCTAGTAGTAATGAATTAACCACTAACTTACGCATCCTGATAAAATTTTCATACTATCGTCACACATCAACCAAAGTATCCGAATAATCATGAATTCCGTTCTAAAAGTCAGCAAAAATCACGGTAAACATTATTTTGCTGGTTTACGCGTGCACATAAGATGAAAGATGGTTCTCGATTCTCCATAAACGAACTCGCGCTCGATAAACTGCCCGATTGTTAATTTATCGTCGTACCAGCGTCTGTTCTTCGACGATATTAATCTGTTCTGATCGTAAAATAGATGCATAAATCTCGTCACGACCTTAGGAAACGATATTAAAACTAAAAAATGGAGTCGTAGTAATCGAAAGAACGACGCAGAATGTAGTAGGACACGAGTGAAAAATATGGATAGCGCGTGTCATTCGCTGTTAATTACATAACTCTGTCATGGCAGAGATATGAGTAACTCGATAGTAATTAACAACACGACATAACGATGATTCGGCGGCGAGACAAGATTAATCAGCCGCTTTTGAAAGCAGGCTGTTACAATAATTAACCAGGCATCCGTGGCTCAAAGCGACCGACATTTTTTCCCCTACTTTTTCCCTACTTTTCTGCTTTAAACTATAAAAATAACAGCAATACGTACAGGCTCAAAAGCTTGTACATTTTTATGAATATGATATATTCATAATGGTTCATTATGCGAAATATTTTAAACCATTAGCATCGTTACGAGGCTCCATTATCGTAATTATATTGGTAAAATTTCAAACAAATTTGAAGATACACATAAAAATGAGAATATATTTCGCGGAGATGGCAAATGTGTTTAAACAATCGGACATTACGATAATAAACTTCCATACTCAATGGAATCAGCCGCTTTAACATTTATCGTATTCTCAAGATGGTTGCGTTATCAAGAAAACTTTTCACCTGGAAGAAAAGGGGGAAAAAAGTGGTTGGAACGATTACGAGGTGGCGGCGTGTTTTCAACGTGAACGCAAGGGTCCGTAGCACCACGACAGATAGGAGTCGTGTCGACGGTGAAATAAGTCTGTTGTTATAAATATCACGCGGACGATAGCAAAAATAGCTGCCAGGGCCGTGACAATTGGGATGTTTCCCGACCATCTCGCGCAAATATTGCGGCAAATATAAAAATCCTTCGACGTATTATCATGTAATATCATACATTAAAATTCACCTGTTTACAATCACACGAAGCGATATCAGATTCGGAGAATCAAAAGCGTACTTGACTTCTTTTCCACTGTATTATTCAATGAGAAAAAAAAAGAAACATGATAATTAATGGCGTTGAACAGGAAACTAGATACACGAAATCTAAAGCTAGTTCTTGAAGTGTATCAAAACGCGCTGCAACTTCATCCAATTGAAATAAATCGAGAGAGTTTAACTTTCAGTTAATACGCGTAAGCGGCAAGTAACGGCGAGGGCGCTTCATTAATTATCCTTTGGCTAACGAATGTTGCGCGCAGAGAGAACGGGCATCGCTCGATCATGTCCTTACCTCGGACGATTATTAAAAGTTGTTATTCTTTTAATAAAAGTTACAAACTCTCTAAAGAAGATAGTACGCGGCGGCGGCAACGCAAATACGAATAATTAACTTTCCCATCGCGCCTCCCTTCTCTTGACCCACGCGCAATCGATACTCCCGTGAAATTAGTTGGCGATATTAATCCGCCGGCTTCCTCTCGACAGTCGTAAATTTGCAGAATTCCCAAAATACAGGAACCGACTGAAACCCCGATAATGTTAAACTGCAACTGGCGCCTTCGACCGCGAGAAAAAGCATCGAACATTCCAACGCCTCTTTCCCTCTATTTTTCCCCCGTTTTTCTCATTTTTTCTTCTTTTTTTTTTTATCTTTCCTTTCTCCAGCCAAGGAATTCCACGTAGAACTATCGCTGGCCTGGAGCCGGGGAATTTTTTCCTCGCGTGAAAAAATGCAATTTTCGAAAGAATTCCGAGAAGATGCCGGCCAGGATGTATTTTCCTATCATTCTTCTACACCCTCGAAGAATGAAAAACACCTCGATGCGCATCGTGAGCGAATGCAGGAATTGTTGGTTAAACAGACGAACGATTATCGATCGGGAATCGTAAATGAGTATGGCAAGGACGATGTAAGGTGGATTCGCGATGAGATCGTCGGTATAATTGCGGCTCGTTGAATCGAAAGAGTCTTCGTTTAGGTCATGTTACTTGATCAATGTTTCACCTTCCTTAGAAAGTAGAATATCTTATCTGCCATTTCGAAAGATTTAAGAAAATTGTATTTTTTTTTTGTTTTTGTTTTATTATTATTATTCTGCACGAAGTAAGACGACCGTAAGTTTATTTCGGATAGTCTAATTTCATAGCTTCGCGTGATCTCCCTCTCCTGTCGCTTCTCATTTCTAGTAACGGTGAAAGGGTCGACGATCGGGTTTTTCCGAGAAAAATCCCTGAATCTCTTTCCGCTGAATTTTCCGTGCGGAACGCGAGAAAATCAGTTTGGTAAATTTGCTAAAACGAGGGAACGTGTGGTCCACGGGTTCATTTCGCCGTTTCAACGACGACAGACGAATAGACGATAAAACTCACGACTGAGAATTCTCGGGGCAAAAGGTGATTTATCGGCACAGTATTCGGCATCGATCGATATCGTGGCAGAATGATGACGTGAAATTAGCTGCAGCGCTTTACAAATCGCTCCACCATCGAACGATCAATCCCATTCTTTTTCCCCCTGTACTTTACGTTTCTTTTTCACATTGTGTTCCACACGATATTAACGAAAAATGTTTTTCGTCATTACGCACTTCAGTGACATTTCACATTTTGACATTTTAGTATTTTTTTTTCTTTTTTTTTTTTACCAGAGAGGGGAAAATTAAATTTCTTAATAGAATAATAAAAGGCTCGTTAGCTTCTCGAGCTTCGACGAGCTTTTTGCCTGTAAATCTCAATTCGCTACGTCGTTAATCAATCACGTATTACCAGAATTTATACTGTCAAATATATATGTTTTTCCATCCTGCTCATAATTTTTAAAATATTACGATAATTTGACATAGTTAATTTTGATCCTCCTTTTATTAAAATTCACCTTTTTCCTCGACAACCAACATTGAAAGAAAAAAATCAAATTTTTCCCCTGTCACGTTCATACGTCATATTCCATTAATCCTTGTAAATATTTTATATCGAATCGTTGTAAAAGCAGATATTCCAAAAGTTAACTACAAAAGTGAAGCTCTAACCAACGAGCTTACAGAATAGACTGCTTTCGGTCGCAAGTATCACACGCGGAAATTGCGGTACACTGAAATTCCGAGTCGGAATGAATATTTCCTTGTCGATGATAAATTGAATGTCACGCCACAGGGAATTTTTATCCCAACTGCATATAACGTATAAATTATTCCCGACTGGAATTTCTAATGCAAAATTCGCGTGATTTATATACGTTCGAAGGTGGACGATAATAAAACTCAGTGGGAATAAACGATGAAAAAATAACTTTAAAAAATTCGTCATAATATCAAAAAGAAAAGAGAAATCTACAGATTTGTATCTTCTACTTTTTTATGAAATTAACATCTCTAATGAAACTTGGTTTCTGGGATAGACGGGAGGATGACTGGAAACGTTAGAAAATTTTCCCCGCAGAGCATTTCTCTAGTGAGTCACGTTGAGTTCGTTTATTTATCGTAGCATACGAGTAGACAACTAATGAGCCACACAAGCGGGACTTCATCTTGAAATTGCAACAGTAATCCCGTTAAGTGGCCAGGAAATTATTTCGGTCTCGACTAAATTTCCTTTTGCTTTGCTTCGTCCTCGATATCGTGGCATGGATTAAACAGTGGCGGAAATATCGATTAATAAAAATTGATTTATCAGCACCGTGGCAAATAATTGGATAGAAATTTAAACACTAGATTCTCACGTTATGAAAGGTGGAATTTCCGAAAAAATCTTCTGATATATAGTGGAAAGAATTTTTTCTCGAGGTCATTTTTTTTACAACATTCCAAAATCATCGGTATTCTTATAAATTGATCTTGTATATTTTTTTTATAAAAAAAAGCGCGTTTTTTTTATTCTTCATATAAAAACTTTAAGGTATTCGTGTCTGAAAATTCTTAACTTAAAAGATATTTCATAATATATCTTCAGATTAACTTTAAATGTTACCAATATAATCACGACGTCCGTGTCCTCGTTATAGTGCTAATGGATTTTTTCAAAGTTTCCTATAACGCACATAACGTATTCATAAAAGTTTCCCATAGGAAATGTTCAAATATCCCCGTAGATTTTTCTATCGCGATGATAAAGAAGAAATTTTGCTTTCCTTAAACGACTCGAATTTCCGAGACAATCCCAAATGCCAAGATCAATGTTACACGACTTTGCGTCATTATACAATCGACTGCCAGAAAGCGAATTCAAATACAGTATCAACATGCAAAGAGCACGCAAAGAACATGCAAACACACATCATGTTTATTCAGTTGAAAGTTTCTTAAGATGACTAGATCAACTTTGTTAATCTCTATCGCGTGTTTTCTCCCTAAAATTAGAAGCGGCACACCAAGATTGTATCTCTCTGCTGATCATCTAACGGTTAGTTTTATTTTTAGACAGAATGGTTGTACATTTGTGACTCAGAAGCTCCAAAAAACGATCCGTGAAATCTCTCATCCGGCGCGGTCTATAACGGAATAAACGTTTTAAAATTACGTTTCAACATGCGGGATAACGGGGTCCGATGCACAGCAACGCCAGGCCAAAATATCGAGCGCCAATTTCGCGATCGAAAACGTTTCTAGGTTTTCATAACGGAAACGAAATTTCAGTTGGCTGTTTCGTCGTTGATATTTAACCGACGACAGTAAACCGAACGCGACACGGAATTTCGTGACAATTCGGACTAATGGCGTGGCTGTCGAATCGATAATAATTCAACATTTAATTACGATTCTGTCATTTGAACAGGACGCGATGCGTTCGGCGAGAGACCGCAAACTATACGCGACGCGGAACGTTGCGGGCGTCGCTGGTATCGGTGTATCGTATCGAATCGGAAGATAGATCGTCGTGTCAGCCTCGAAACAAAGTCAAGAGCAGACCGTCGATATTTCATCGCTGGTGGCCAGCTCGCTGAAAACAAAACCGCGAGCCTGCCGCGTCTGTTGCGTCGCCGTTCGATGAATTACGCAAGTTATGCAATCGTTCTGACCAACAGGAAAAGATCGCCAAGTATTTCTCCTTGAAAGATAAACAGCTATAACGTTTGTCGGTTAGACAAGATAGAAAAAGTTGGATGGAAAATCGAAGCATAGATTCCCGAAGTGTGAATCGCCAGTTGATTTTAGGTGGATCGTATCGAATGTTCAAATACGACGATAGTTTACGTGTTCATTTGGACGAGTTTCACTCGTCGAGATTCGTCGGGACAATTGAAAATAGATTCGACTAAAACTCGCACGAGAATTACGCTTCTGTATAGTTTCTGTATAGTTTCTGTCAGCTTGTAAGTCTATATCAAATCAATTTTGATTCGTTTATTGATCGACAGTCAACGGCGATTACGTCTCGGATTAATCATTTAGCCGTTAGTTTTAGTTAATCAGTGTAGCTTAAACGTGTAACGAGTAGGTTACACTTGGCAGTGTGTGTAAGGGAAACTAGTTTCGTGGAAAGGCGGTGTGATATTCCGTCATCTATTACAACGTGGTTTTGAAAGGATGAAGATCATGGATATGTTAGGATCGTTAGTAGGTCCTATAAGTCGCGAGTACCCACTTTGTCATCTTTAAGTCCTTTCTTCGTTGGTGGCAATAGATTACGGTCGCTTTAACGATTCTGTCGTCTCTCTTTGCCTCTCGCTACTGGCCTTCTACGTGAGATAGAATGTCTGTATTTGGAAGAAAACATCGCTACGACGGGATATATCAGTGAGAAAGGAAGGTTAAAACGACGAAAAAGAGGCGCGGTTGAAACGAAAACTTCTCTCCATTCTAAATGGCCCAGCGACTGACACAGAGGATATTAAAAGATCGGGCTTATCTCCAAAGACGCGATAAATCTTGGGAACTTTAATCGAGCGAAAGTTGCAGTTGTGTTTGTCGCGATTTACTTCCAGCAAATTTTCTTTCCACCGAAGGAAGAATAGTTGGACAATGGAATTGGCTTCGGAGAAGGGAGAAAAAAAAATGATCTTAAAATCGCGGGAACTGCTCGAAGCTTAATGAAGTCGAAGGTGCACGAGTGACGAGGTTGAAGAACAAGGGTTCTCGATGATTTCCGGCTAATCGACCGCGTTCACCGTTTTATAAAGATCGCAGAGAGGAAAATGGCTTTTTCTGACAATTATTTACCGATCAACAAACTGATATTATCGGCAAACCAACAAGTTAGAATTTTACAACTTTAAGTTAAATCAGATAATCAGCTAACTAGTAAATTGTAAAATTTCATTCCCTTAATACCGAACTTGTTGCCGTTGCACAAGTACACGGGTCTAAATTAATTGAAAACAGCTGCGAATAAAATGTTACGTTAACGCAACGTTGGCACCAGGTGGGTTGCTACTACTTCGTTTGGTCCTGAACTTATTACCAAGACCAGTATTCGAACATCGCCGTGTCCACAAAAATTAACAACAACCACGAGTCCAGAGACATCACCGTTAATTACGAACAATTCCACGGAACGATCGTTATTCGTCACTAAAAAATAAAAAAAAATAAAAATAAATGTATTGATCGACAAAAGCGAAATCGTAGTCAAACGAACGACACGAGGAAGCCAAGTACGAGACGCTGGTCGCACTTTCGAAACGCGATTCGGTCTCAACCAAACGATCCATTTTTATCCACGATGGTCGCGAGGATGGCATGCAAATTTCGAAATGCCACGGTGAGGTTGAAAACAATCGTGGGTGGTCGAAGTTCAAGGACGGTGTTGGAGAAAAAAGTGCCCTCGACGGCGAAGTGACCAGCACAGGGGGTAAAGATGACTGAGAAGAGGACCTCGCCATTGGCGTGCACGGGGATCGACGGTGTTCAACTCGACGTAGCCCGTAGAGGCATGGACGAAGTAACGGGAGCAGGTGGAGGGGTGCGAAAGCTCGGGCAGAGGATCAAGAAAAGACGACGAAGAGGGAGGAAGAGGTGGCGGCGGAACAGAGCGGCGAAGTAGCTAGCCAGAAATAACTAATAAGACATTCACTCTAAGACGGGCGGCCAACCGGCCCGGACGAACGCGGTGCGTCTCGTATAACTTCGTAATCGGGCACCTTATCACCCCCTCATCAATACGATAACACCACACACTGTTCGTACCTGCGCGAAACAACGGTGACGAGAAAAGCGTGGCAACGGAATATCGCTAGACACACGCGTCTGTATACACACAGTGCCGTGGAAACCTAGTCGCGTATCATTATCTCATCTCTTGGTGTCCTAGTTTCTGCAAAGTGCCTGCTACTGATACTGTTGTAGCCTTCTTTACTCCAGACACTGTTGATTAAACGAAAGAAGCGTAACCGGGCAACCAACTGATCGTAAAACAAAAAAAAAAAAAGAAATAAAGAGAAATATTTGAATGAAATTGGAAAAAGGAGAAGAAAAGAGAGAGAAAGAGAGTGGAGCAAGGAAAAGAGAGAAAGAGACTGGAGAAAGAGAAATTTCAGTCAAGTATATCACGTGTGATATCGTATAGTATTGCATCAAATGCGAATCAAGTGCCGAGAGTGAAGAATTCGATTCTCGTACTCGTGTGCATCGCGACGTTAGTTCCGTCTTCCGGCCAGGATATCCTACACCAGCTGGTGCTTACGCGAGAAACCGACGAATCCGCGATTGGACCCGAGGCTCGGACGCGAGAGAGGATCTCTTTTCGCCGTCGCCATCGGCCGTCTAATTTTAAGTGTTAGATAATGCACACCGGTGCGCACCGGTGCGCTCCGTTACTAAAACGGTACAGCGCCGGCGATGCACACGCTCGCCCAGCGCGCACGCTCGTTCACGCGCTACCATTGGCGTGGAAACGCTTGCCCGCGCGCCTCACGCCTTGCCACGCGAATCGTGCAAACGCGAGGAGAAGAAAGCGCGAGAGAAAGAGAGTGAAAGCGGTGAAAGGTGCACGGTGGTGATGAGTTTACGCGCTGCGGCCCTACTCCCTTTAACGAATCCCACAGGAGACGCACGGGACCGGGAAGCCTGGGAAATCTCGGGGATTTCGAACGTATCGAAAGTCGGGACTTTCTCCTCTGTACCCGAGGGGTTTTCGTAGTATTTCAAGTTTCGACTTTCCAAGCTCTAAACCGTTTCATAGCGTGTCCCTTGCCCCGGGCTGTTTATTATTTTACAACATCTTTCCCTTTCCTCGTTGTCTCTGGAGACGGCTTATTAACGTTTCCTTTTTCATCTATGTGTATATTCTCCCTGGTGGCAGACACTCGATAGACTCTTTTAGAAATGGATTCTCGGATAGAGAAAACTCGAGGCTTTCATCACCGCGAGAAGAACTTCAGTTTTCTCGATCTTTTTACCACCGGATTCGAGACACTGGAACGGTTTTCCCATCACCGCCGTGATCTCTCGTCCACGTCTCTGCCTCTTCGTTTTCTCATCTTTCTACGCCGTTAAAAAACTCCATACTGCTCGTTTCCACGAGCAAGCTTTCCGCTCAGCGCAGCAGATAACTCTTCCCTTTTTCTGTATCGCTTCTCTCTGACCAACTTAACGACATCACGATCGACTTAGTTTTCATCCGTGGCCCGATGTGCGCTTAATTGCGATTTATCCTCGTTCTCAGCCGCTTTTCACGTACCACGATCGTTCGCCAGTTTCTTTTTTTTTTTTCTCGTCTCGTCTCTCTTTTCTTTTTTCCACGAGCCCAACCCCTGTTAGACCAACCGTTTCCCTCTTCGTCGTTTTTCTATCCGATTCGCCTTTCTTTTTTTCCGCTTTTTTAACCCTCCCTTCTATCATTCTCTCGCTCTATCCGTCCGGTTTCCCTTCTCTTCGTTGCTCCGCGTTCGCGCAGCTTCTATTCCTTCTCCGCGTTTCTCACGTCCCGTCCTTCGATCCCACTATCTTCGTCTGTCTCTCCGTGCTCTAATATGGCCGGCCGGTGTCCAATTACTCGCTTCGTTCTCGCTACAGTTTTTCCACGCTCTCCACGACCGCCGTGGCAACGAGGAAAAGATCCTCATCAAGCGTCGCGACACGACCTTTCATTTTCTGCTTTTTCTTCCGTGCCGCGGCCGCCCATTCACCCACCCTAAACCTCCCTTCGTCCATTTTCCTTTTTTCTATTTCTCCACAAACTCCTTCCACGTCGCTCCTCTTCGTCGTTCCAACGTTTCGCCGTGTCTTTTTCCGAACGGCCGTGCCGAAGATCTCGCGAGACGCAATCGATCCGGCGTGCGATTTAAATTGGGAAACCGTGTCGACGCGTGTCTCTTCGTGTTGGCGCTTCGAATAATTAGGAAAGAGAGCGACAGGGAGGGGGAGAGAGAAAGAGAGAAACTACGATTAAAAATATATGTTGGAATGTTGGGTGAGTGTGGTGTAACAGGATCGTCCAGGTTAAGAGAGCGAGGCGCGATTAAAGTTGGAGCATGAAGGGGGATGAGATCATCCCCACGTGGCGACTGTTCTTCCCGCTCTTTCGCCAAGGAAATTGCTGATTCCTGAATTATCGGTAATTCATTGGCAAAGTGATTTCTGCGCCAGATACTTCCCGAGTGGAAGGCACTTTTATTTCGTTGCAGGAATCATACGGGTATTCCGAAATATCCGCTGGATACGATCATTGTGAAAGGCTTTGATCTAGCCCATTCAGGATCAAACGGACAAAATAGTATATTTTACAAACGTTACTGAAGTTTATGCAGAAAGCGTAAATTACTGTTTTGGCAAGATACGAAAAATCTATGAAACAAATAGATGCATTGAAAAATTCCGCTGCACAAATTCGAAACACAGAAAGGAATTGTATAAATTAAACGGGGAATAGTTAATCATAAAATCCTTAGAACACTTCGTAAAATTGTAAACTCTATCCGGAAGAAGAGATAATAATGAAAGAAATATTGAAAGAATTTTTGAAACGTTATGATTAGACAAACAAATGAGATTGACAAGTCCTTAATGGATTAACGTTCAATCGCGTCTGACCAGGAATGCGTCTCATCTACTTAAAACTGGTCGCCCGCCTGGCCGCATACTGATACGATCCACTTACTCGAATCATTCTACCTAACGCTTCAACTTATATTTACCTCTCGTTTCACTAGTTTCCGCCGAATCGTCGAAATATTTGTTTATGGTTAAAACACAACATATAGTATGGGTAGGAGGGGGAGAGAACAAACAGAATGACCACGGTTTCCCGATTGTATCGCGTGTCGAATTGGTGGTTACGTGATCATAGTTCCGTGTACGCGCGACGACTCGTTTAACAGTGGTGATTTGATTTCTAGCTGTCACAGCGCCGGATATTGGTGAACGACGGGTGTGACCACTTGGGGCCCCCATAGAGAGGGCCCCCAACCGGAAGAAGCCGCCATAAGGCGGTCACAGTCTACCAGGTAAGCTCTTCTCCTATTTCTCGATCGATTCTCGAAACGTTAACCACACGTTACATGTACGTTATGCTTGTTTTGCAATCCATAACCCTGCAGCCTAGTTTGCCCGAATGATTGTGAATTAAAAATTCAATAAAACAGGGATTGACGGCTAGAAAAACATTTACCTAACTAAAGTGGAATTTTACCGACATTTTTATTAGAACGGAACGGTGAATTTCAGATTCGCGATACTGTTTGCCGTGAAAATTTCGCTTCGTCCCGATGATCGATGCCATGGAAATTCAGCCGAGATTATTGATGAGCCTTCGTTACAACTCTAATCTCGCGTTAGATCCTTATCAACGGCCGTTTCTCAAAGCAAAAGGAACGTCCGAAAGTTTGCCAGGATAATGGTATAGCAGCTGCTTTCGCCGAGTTATTAAGACGAGGCGGGCGAATAAATGAATCTAGGCCCAATCAATCTTCGTCCGAGAGGCTTATGATTCTTTAAAGTATTAAATTCTCGCCACCGTTTTCGCTTTTCTTCTCTTGCCTACGCTTGAAACGTTTCGATCGAAGGGAAAAGAAAAGAAAGAAAAACAGTAAAACAGACGACGAAATGATATAGACGGTTAATCGTTTACTGGTTGATGCACGCAATTAGACGATTCAATTTTCGCGTGAAAATGAAAAGCTGCGCCCGAATAAATACGGAACGATGAATGTGCACGGGCAGAGCTGGCCAGCTGACTGGAAGTGGCGAATGTCGGGTTAAAAAATATTATCGGATAGCCGCAGACACGTCTACAACCTGTAAAATTGGACTGGTAGAAACGGTGTTTCCCAAACGAATTCAATTATCGCGTGTTCAGGAAATTTGCTTTCTCTCAAACGGGCTGAACGATGAATCGCTTTAGAAGCCGATGTTGGCAATATTTTCCGCGCGTTTAAGCGCCGTTCCTACGCGCTGATATTTCCAATGAAATAACATTCCGATCAAGCACGCTCTGTTTGATTAATCAACACGTAGTCGTAGCCTCGTTCTTGAGATTTTACGAAATCGTCGGTTCAGCCATAAGTTTCGAACGTGGATATCGCGATACGTGTAACGCTGTTCGTTTCTTTACCTGAAGCTGCTTCACGAACATGTGAAATGAGACAGGTAACTTTTTTTGTTTCCTTGTCGGAATTATCTTAATTATAAGATGTAGAATTTAAGGATTGAAAAATTTCCATATCCCCGAAAACCATGTAAAAATTTGAATCTGCATGTTCGAGATGCTAATTCAAAAGTTTGAAAGTCGGCCATTAAAAAGTTGAATTGAAAAATTTCAATGCGATCGTTAGAAATTTAAATTTAGTAGCTGGAAGCGGGAATTGCGAAGTTTCAATTTGACCATTGAAAGTTCGGATTCGACTATTGGGGCATTCGGATCCAGTGATTTAAATTTAACCATCGAAGGATTGAATTTAAGCGTTTGAAATGTTTAATTTCGAAATGATTCATAAACTCTGGTTTTACTCGAAAGCTGTTATTGTGTTGCTCGAAGCTGAAGCAGAGTAACAGTTGGACCCGTTTCAAGATGCAACTTTGTAAACTCGAGCGCTTTAATCCGCGTTTGAAGAAGAGAAATGAAACGTTCGATTCGCTGAGCTACATTTGTTTTCCTATTTACCGCGGTAGTTATTCATCCGAAATGAGCGGCTAATTAATCTTCCCTCGCGTTTTAAGCGCCTCCTTTCTTATCCACTGCTCAGAAACGAAATAACTCTAATTACTTCTTTTCATCGAGGTATCGCGTTCAAATCCCGCCGTCGCGTGAAACTGTAATTTCCAGGGGAATCGTCGGCGGCGGCGACCCTTCTCCAGTAAAAAAAACTTTACCAACGTAGACGAGAGAATCATTTTACAGTAGCGCTCGTCCTCGGCGAATCAACGAGCCGCAGTTTCGAACGACGGTGGAAAAACTTCGGTGATATGAGACGAGATCTCGCGACAATTTTTGTTCGTCGCCCAGGAAGCAGCATGGAACGTAGAGCGAACGAAGGAGAAAGAAGTCAAAAGAGAAACGAAAGAGGGGAAAATGGAAAAACGAAGCTTTTGAATTTGAAAGTCACCATTAACGAAACGGCTTAACAAAAAGTGAACGCAGGAAGTTGCGCCTCGAGCGGACCTATCTACACCCAAATTAGCGCAATTAAATGTGCCACGTTTCGTTTTACTAATTAATGTTCGTTTTTCACAAGAACCATGACCGTTCCGCTAATTCTAGCTAGAATGGAAATTTCAACTTGCGATAACGCGTCCACTTCAGTTCTTTTTCCTTTCTTTTTTTTTTTTTTTTTCTTTTTCTTCTCATTCAAATCCTCACGACCAGCGAGAGAACACAAAGAATACGTAGAACGGAGAAAGTAACTGTCATGTAAAATCGTCTGTCCCAACGAATATTTTATATCAATTAACTAATGGGTCTATTGCTGTGACTGGACGAGATAACGGGCAAAGAGTATAAATTCACAGTGTTTCAAAGGCAAATGTCATCCGGCCGACAGGGATCTACAATTCGAATTTAAACATTCGTTACACGTGTACATACATTCGTTACCAGTGACCTGGCCGGGCTAGTTTATACCAGAGCTATTCGTTCTTCGATAAGAATAAATTTCGTACCGATAACCGGACCGATACGTCAAAAGTCACGTATGATCGGTTGCACGCCATTCGCGGAGATAAATTCGCCTTTGAATTATCTTTCGGATTAGATTTCTACGGCGCTACCTCGATATTCTCTCTTGGTTCTTTCGAATCTCCGCTCTTCCGCTCTTTGTTAACAATGCTACCCGTTTGTTTCCCTTCTCGTTTGATCATTCCGATCGAAGATTGCATTCGTACGTGAATTATTTTCTACGGTTTCGCGAATCTCTACTATCTGCGAAATTCAATTCCAAGCTTTTATTGCCGGCACTCTAATTTAGGAATTGCACATTGGAGAGCAGTAAGTTTTTATAGCATTAACCTTGCTGAAACTAATATCTCCTCAAGTTATACGATATCTCGTGTAATACTTGGCTTTGGTCGGTTCAGAATTAATGCATCGCACGACTGTTCAATTTTAAACTGGGTAATATTAATTTTACCAATTATAGTATAAATGATAACGATTGTTAAATTCTTTATGAAAATTGTTACGATCCTCCGAGTCATTTTCGAAGTGGAATGGTAGCTCTTTTACGATATAGCACGAAGAAGACCAGGACACTGCTGTAAACATAACATCTAAAATGTCAGCGTATCTCACGCGATTATTATTAACGTTATGGCGACCCGCGATCCGCTACGCTCCGAGTGTTGGCTATTAATACACAACGTACATGCTCCATTTATCTGCTTGTACATTCCTCTAATCATTTATTCCTTTCACCTTTATACTTCTTCGGAGAAAAACATAATTTGGAAAAACCGTATTTTTGTTCATTCTGAACATAAAACATCGTCATATCGTTAACATATATTTCTTACAAAAATTGGAAATATCTGGTACCAAGTATGCAAGAAATTTTAACGACGAAGAAAACAATTATCTGCTAAATCGTTCTGAATTCACCGTCATTTTCCTACGTTATCCAAAGGTTAATAAAACGTACTACGTTAAAATTCATCGTCCGAACGATATCCACCGAACGATACATCACGTTCCCCTGGATCCCTAAAAATCTCTATCCAACAGGGAAACATTAGATTGATCCACGACACGATCTAGCAGGAGTCGTTGTCAGAAGAAAAATAGATTCCTTGTATTCAGCGTTTACGGTGGACATGTGTGACGTATTCGTACAAATGGAAATCCATTTTTCATCAAGGAAAAACACTCCGGTTTCCCGTCGATGAATCTTCGACGACTTGCTTTCCTATCCCAACACGACCGTAATATTTTCGGAAAGCCCTAAACCGCATGAAAAATTCGTTTCTCGTTCAATTTCCTTCTTCCCCAAGGAAATCTACCTGTCATGAACAGCATCGTTACTTTAACATACTCGCTGATTACTTTGGGATAATTATACTTTAATTAGCTTTGCCTAAATAACGGCGTGTTTTCGTAAACCCTCTTATAGCAGCGAAACGAGCGCCGACAGAAATATTTAATTCCAAGCGTCCTTTCGATTTTCATTAGCAGACCGGAGCAGCCTTCTCCACTTGAAGAACTAAACCTTCCCAGAGGAAGTTGCAGTGTCTCATTTAAATTGTTAAAGAATCTCTCCTAAAGAATTTAATAATTACGAGATCTTCGTCGATAAATGAAGCCCTCTCGCGAACTTGCTCGTTCAATTCGATGATAATCTTTGATAGATAGTCTCTTCTGGCAAAATCTATTCCGGTTTCATATCGGCTTCCAGCATCTCGTCTCGGCTGTTCTTTTCGAAGACGAGCTCGATTATCATCGATCTTATCCGATATTCTCGGCTTTAGACACTGCTTTTTCTAAAACTATATAAATTTGATTTGTATTCCCGAGCTGTATAACGCTTTATATTTCATATTGTACAGGTTTCGTATCTCGATAAAACAACGCGCAAATTATTTTACGTTTCTCAATAACACAGTCGGTTTTTATCCTCTTGTTATTTCGCTGTAAATCTGTCGTTTCAGCGGCGTATCTGCCTTGCGATATAAAATATTAAATAAAATGGAATTTGTTGAAGCTGATAAATTTGTTATCGAATAAATGTAACGGATAGATACTTATGACTGGCTGTATAGATACGTTATTTTTGACCGGTCAAGCGGACGGTAGAATGGAAGAATCGAGAGAAGGAAGCTAACAGCGTCATAAATCTACAGGAAAATCGCAGATGTACCGAACAAAAATCAGACACGTACGCTGAGTGGACTTTCAAATTTCTTCGTTTCCTACGTTTCTTGAAATAACCGCCCTTTGTCATGGAAATCTGAGTACTTACGACGCTACTACAATTCCATAAACGTCGTGGTTTCTTTCAAAGGTAGGGCGCTACCCTTAGGA